TGAGTGATATTATGTAAAGAAAATTAATTTTTTTTTTACAAAGTACACTGTATTGCCCAGTTTTACTGTCTATCAGAGTTGGATGTGGTAATATCAGAGTAAGTCAAGTAGCCTATCACCGACTTGTAACAGTTCTTTCACTGAACCTCATTTCCTGCGTGCACCATAACAACAACCTAATTTTTAGTCTGCTTGTATTCCTGAGTGATAAATTGGATGGAAATTTCTTTAGTGCATTTCTCTGTTAATTCTATAGCATCTCCAATCTGCAGGTATATTAAAGACTCCAGGATATTTAGATGCTCTTCAGTGCCTAGTCTTCTCATACCTGTGTCACTTTTACTAGTTTTATGGCACACACTTCAATTAGAGAATGACTCCTTCCTTGCTGGTTTTGACAGTACTTTCTTCTTGTTCCAGCAGCTTTGAAAATGCTGGATAACCAGTGGCCACCCTCCTTAACAGAACAGTTAGTTAACCTAAAGATCGTTATCCCCTTTACTCTCCACTGCCTGGTTCCATTCTTGGTTCCCACTATTGGATGACTTTTTGTTTTTGTTTTGTTTTGTTTTTTCTTAAAGATGGGGGTTTCATTATGATGGCCAGGCTGGTCTTGAACTTCTGCCCTCAGGTGATACACCCACCTCAGCCTCCCAAAGTGCTAGGATTACAGACGTGAGCCACCACGCCCAGCTGGATGACTTGTTTTTATGGAGACTATTTTGAAATCTTTTAGTTATTTTTTATCACTTGCCTCTAGCTCTTCCTAGGTTTATTCATATTTCTCTTTTGTGATGGGGCAAGAGTGCTTGATAACATTGCATTAAGTGGAGTGAAAGAACTGTTCAGTTCATTTGACACCTTGTAGAAGGCGCACTTTCTTGCAGACCTACCACTTGAAACTCATGACTCTCGTTCATAAACAGCTACTCGCTGTCTTGCATCTGGGTAATTAATTCTGCCTCTAACAGTATTTCACTCTGTATGTATAGCTGTAAAATTTATTGGGATTTATTTCTAGATTTTTCTCCAAACTTGTCACATTCATTTTGAATTCTTGATGTTTTACTGCATAAATTAGTTGATAGGCCATGTGTGCCAACTTGCATCCAGGAATGGGATGAGCAGTGTCAACACTCCACCACCAGAGTCACTGGGTTATTAAGTAGACAGCACTGGGCCTGATCCCATCGCTGCCCTGCAGTTCAGAGTGCCCTCTTATAACAGGGGCAGCATGGTGGTGCTTCATCAGCTGTACTCTAACCCAGCAATGATAGAGTGGAAATTCATACTTTCCTTCATGTTTTGTTAATGTTGGGAACCCTCCACACGACTGACTGCTGCATTTTAGAATAATATATAGAAGACACAGAAATCATGAATATGAATTACTCTCTAGAATCAGTGCAGCAGTAGATTTTGGTCTATTAGAAAGAATCCTTTACCACAGTAACCTCAATGCCAGACAAGTATTTTCAACTCAGCCCAGAGCTGAAGGCATTAATGAATTCTAATAGCAAGGCAGCATACCCTCTGGTGGGGTTCTAATTGACAAAGAGATAGAAAACTGAAAGAAGAAGGCCAGCATGTCCTTTGGAGAGCTGGCACACAGCACCAGCCAACAGTGCATCAGGCTCCGGGCCAAAGAAAAGTGGGCCCTGCAGTGCTATTGCCCTGTCTAAGCTAGAAGCCGGTGTTCGTGGCTGGGGCTGTCAAGAGTCTGCAAGCCCCCTGCCACTAAAAGCACAATTATAGATGTATGTGTGTTTTCCAGCAAGCAGGTTATTCAGCTTTTATTTGATACTCAAAAGGATCCATGAAATATAGAGGGCTAAGAAGCTCTGTTTGCTTGATGAACAATAATCCAAACTTCAAACTGGGTAAAATAGGTTGTTGGGAATTCACGCAACAACAACACTCAGGGAAAAGAGAATTAGCATCTATCCATTGCTAATTGTGTATCAGAGATTCTTGGAAACATTTAATCCTCACAATAACCTTTTAAGATAGAAAGAGAAAGGATTCGAACTCAGGTCTTTCCCGGAAGCCCACGTACTTGCTACACTACACTGCTTCTCTAAAGAATGAAAGAGATTAACCATTGGAGATTAATAAAAAATAAAGATAAGCACTCTAAAACAATGCAGAGATAGGATTTGATGTTCAAAAATGTGATTTTTTTAAAACTTAGGAGCTTATTTGCAAAGTTGAGTGATTTAAACCAAACTGACATCCTTATCCTATAGGATGACCCAGGGTGCACCTTCAAGAAGGGGTGGTTCCTTCAGAGCAAAAGCTTTTCAAGAAACTAAAGAAGTTGTCAGTGGAACAGTTGTGAGGTCCAGCCTTACTGTTCACTTTCTAATGAATAAGATCATGTGTCTGTGAATGAAAATATTTCTTTTGTATCTCTGTACCAACTGATGACAGTCATTTCATTGGTACATGTTAGATTATATAAATTCGACTATATTTTACTTTGTCTCTAAAAGTATTAATTCTTTTCTCCCAGGCCTTTAAAACAGAGTTTAGGAAATACTTCTGCCCACATAACTAAATGCTTAACTAACCCTCGATGCTGCCTTCTCTAAAACTGTAAATCCCAAAGTTAATATTGGTCATTGTTTTATGGAAAATATTATTTGAGAATATTCAGTGACAATTTAGCAAAATAAATTACACACAGATTTCTGGAGTTTTCTTTATTGCTTTTTGCCAGTATATCTTACGTAAAGCAATGTGATCATCTATTTGGAGAACTCTGTTTGGGGAGGCTGAGCAGGATTAATTCCCATTCCTATGTTGCAGTGTAAACAGCTTTTTGCCTGTCTTTTGTCATTAATGATCATGCTGTAGATGTAGCCAGTGCATTGTAAGCCAATCTGTCAAGGCAAATAAACAATTCACCTTGTTAAAATTCCCTAAATCTTGCATTAATAAAACCTAAGTAACCCCCTGAACACTCAAGAGATGTCTTCCTCCATACTGCGGTGATGGATGACATGTCTAAAGATCCTGGAAATTAAGTAGTTCAGGTCATTAAAAGTGTCCCACACTTGTTATTGATTTAATTTATTTTAAAAAGGTGGGGGTGGAGATAAGAATGTTATATCCTCTCCTCTTTTTTTTTTAAATCTGAAAGCTACCACTTGTACAGATAATTAAAACTATTGCCTAGGGGAACAGATCTGCATGTGTTACAACGTTAAGCTTTATTATTCAAATAAGTATTGTATCATCCTCCTAAACAGATATCTAGGAAAAAAAAGAACAATCATTGAAACATGTATCACAACCAAAATACCTTGGAGTTTTATATGCGTGATGATTCATAGAACTTTTTGAGTTCTAGGCACTGAAATAATGACCTCTGGGCACCCAGAAAATTTCCTCGAATAGGTAATAACTGAGGTGAAAGAGAAATGATTTAAGGAAATTTAACTGAAATAGTAATGAAATTATGTCTCTGGACAGAAGATTTTTTTCTCTTTATTTTCTGAACTTTTCATTTTTCGTTGGACCTGTAAGATTTATCATCATTTTCCCACGTGTAATATAATAGATGCCCAGTAAATTATCTTTTAATGAATAAAATATAACACCCAATTTTTTTCTTCTATCTTTTATTCCTTAAGCTTCCATGGGAACAGTGAGCTGTGTAAAGAACAGTAGCAGCGCCCAATGGAAGTGGCTCTCTAGATGATCCCTCCCCAGGGACTGAGCACCAAGAGGGCTGTCCTCTAGTGTGGGACAGAGGGCAGCCTAAGAGGCCTAGCAGCCTGTGTAGTCACCCATCCTATTTGTATGACCTGCACTGGGTAACGGTATTACAAAACCTGATGAGAAATTGGGGCAACTCAGTATGTGAACCATGGCTAAAAACAAGATGTGATCTAGAACTATGTATCTACAAAGTACACATAATTTCACCTCACTTTTGTTATTTGTTATGTGTCTTATGCACCACCTTACACAGTGTTCCAGATTAGTTGTGTGAATGATGTTTCACCATCAATTCTCACAGTTCTTTAAACAACATGTACTTATTGGACAAAATTTACCCATGGTAGTTATGAAAAATGACCCTTAAGAATAGTAGTATTGAACTCAGAGATTATTATACAATCTTTGATGCTTTTCTCCTATGGTCTTTTGGAAAAGTGGGAGGGGGTGGTGGCAAACGTACATTCCGTTCACATGCTGTGGTAGACTTTAAAAGTACATAGCTATGAAGATACATACTTCTTTGTCAGATTTCTCTTGACATTGCATAATCTGGATCTCTGAATGCTGACATGGTTATGCCATTATGCCAGCTATGTAGCAAAGCTCACTAAATGGAAGAACTCTATAGATTTTTTTTCAGCATGTACACTGATTTACATTTAGCAGTAAAGTTGTTACTGACCCTTTAAGTGGAGCTGTCCAAATGGCAATAAATGTCAGTTGATTCAAATGCCGAAACAGGGGATAGTTGAGGGTCTTGACTAAATCTTCCAGTTGAAAAATGATTTATCGTATTTCCCAAATATTAGTGGTCTCCTATAGGGGGACACACACACACACACACACACACACATATATATAATGTATATCAGACCACTTTATCACTAAGGAAAATTTGATATACATATCTTAACAGTATTATTGATATTCCCAGGGTTTGAAATACTCTAGATTAGAATCTCCATGAAGGCAAGAACCATTTCTACCTGGCTCCCCACTGTCTTGTCACCTAGACAGCATCTAGTGTATAGTAGGTGTTCTATAAATGCCCACTGAGTGAAAGAACAGATAGATAAACTGCAGCATTTGCCAGCACTGCCTAGCATGTGTGTCAGCTTGAACTTATGGTGGGCAAAACAGAGACCACTCCTCATCTTGACTGTGAGGAATGTTGCTGGTAAGAGCTTTGATGGACGGTTATGACTTTTTGAAATAGTTCATTTGATTGATCGCCTAGCAAACTTCACTTCAGTTTCTGTTTTCTGCTTTCACAGGCTGTCATTTTAGAAAATGAAGAACTTCCCAAACTGTTTCTTGATTTCCTAAACGTGCGACACTTGCCCTCTCTACCAAAGGCAGAAAGTTGTGGGTAAGAATCATGTTTGCATATTGGATGTGTATTTTAAATTACTCTTCAATGACCGATTGGTCTAACGAATAGCCCAGAGTGGTGCCCGAGTAGCCAGCCGGCCACACCCACTCTTTTGGCTTGCTGCAACACTCGTTCGCCCCCTGCTTGTGGTCAAAAGAATTCCTCCGAAGTCCTCATGCCCATCCTGTGACCAGATGGCCATGGTTTAGTAACCCATGTTTAGACTCAAGGAATCAATCTTTTCAGTGACACTGTTACATAGAATGCTGTTACCTGATGGGAATTATGAATCTAGATAACTTGTTATGGACTCGATTATTAGTGAAAACTCAAAGTCCATATCCTGGTGGTACATATATATATATATATATATATATATATTTTTTTTTTTTTTTTTTTTTGAGGGGATGGGGGTGATGGAGTCTCGCTCTGTCGCCCAGGCTGGAGTGCAATGGCACTGTCTGAGCTCACTGTAACCTCTGCCTCCCGGGTTCAAGCAATTCTCCTGCCTTAGCCTCCTGAGTAGCTGGGATTACAGGTGCACACCACCATACCCGGCTAATTTTTTTTTTTTTTTTTGTATTTTTAATAGAGATGGGGTTTCACCATGTTGGTCAGGCTGGTCTCAAACTCCTAACCTCATGATCTGCCCGCCTCAGCCTCCCAAAGTGCTGAGATTACAGGCATGAGCCACCATACCCGGCCCATATTCATATAATTTTAAAGCTATCAATGACCTCAGAGATGATTTGATCCAACTCCTCTCATTTTGTAGTTGAGCGAACAGAGACACAGGAATTTAGTGTCTTTCCCAAGATCTCTTGTCTTTTAGCTGGCAGAACCCAGGCCTTCCAAGGTGAGCCCTCTTCCTCTGCTGTCCAGCTGCCTCTCTCAGGAACTTCTGGTGTCAGGACCACAGATTCTAATCCCTATCTACCAAGGACCCAGAGGTTTGATATTATCAGCAATTGGGAAAAGCTCTGCTGAAGAATTAACTCTGAAGCAAGTCACTTGCCCAGCTGTAGGCACATGACATGGGCTGAGCTAGCTTCAGAAGGCCTTCAGGAACATCTGTGGCATACTGTATCCATTTACAGGGAAAGAAATCATTACAACCTCTCTGAAAATCCAAGCAAGAGACAGATTTACCCATTTTCTCACTGCTTCCAGACCTGCCTGAAGGAAACACACTAACTACAAGAAGATCAAGCAGACCACACCCAAAGTCATGTTAAACCCCAGCCGTCTGCAGGATGATGGGGCTGCAGACACTTGTCACAGCTCCTCATGGGCACTGTTTATCAGGTTCATTTCCACTTATTGCAGAGCAAAAATTATACGCTACACTTGGCAAATAATATGTTGTCATTGTGTTCTGTTCCAACTTGTATGTGTTATAGGGAGGTTAGGCCTCATATATGTTTATGTATTTTTCAGAACAGACGTTAGCAATAGCAGTGAATGAAATGTTTTCTCTACTGTACAAGCCCAAAAGTAGTAATCAAACCGAGGATTTTTAAGTAATCTTCAGGAAAATTGAAATCAAAGAATATTTCAGTCTTCAGATTCCTTAGGACAGTGCATAGCCATGCTATGGCTCAGCAGAAACTCACAACTCTTTTTAAAAATATTTCCCAATTCAGTGGTCTAATAACACTGGGTATTTTTTCCTTTGTTGGCATTAACATTGACTCAACGTATGTGATTTTTCTTTTTTTTTTGTCCCCCTTTCTCAACACTTTTAGATCTTTTGATGAAACAGAGTCTGAAGAGTCAAGGTAAGGGCTATTCTTCATCAGCCGGGAATAGGATTATGATCTTGCTAAATGTTTCATCACCATGATGTGTTTCAAGTTTTGTTTCTCTTAAACACCTTTGTTTGGAAATTGGTTTAAGATTATAAATATTTGATAGGGAATTACAGGAGTAACCAGTTAGAATTAAGAGTGAAGGAGTAAGAGCCCTACATTGTTTCATGCAAGTAATAAGAATGTTTTTTCAACAATCATAATACAAGATTTTTAGGAAAGCACGTTTCAGCAATGATTTATTGTATAGATTGTATATCTGCTTCAAATTCCGCAAAGAAATGTTTAGAAGCTGAGAGCAGTGCTCATTTGTTCCCTCTTGCTCTGTGCACTATTATTCACCCCCACTGTTAGAACATAAACCTTGAGACGTCCCCGCACAGCAGTTTGATCCCCTCAAAGCTAGTTTGTAGTGTTTTCTGTTTACCATCGTCCCCTGATGCTGACATGCCTGTTCTTGACCTTTCCAGCAAACTGTCCCACCAGCCTGTGCTGCTGTTCCTCAGGGATCCATACGTCTTGCCTGCAGCCAGCGGTAATCAAACCTGTCATCTGCTAACAGCTCTTTACTGATCTGACCCTGCACCACATAAACCACATTTTTAATACAGGTCTAACAGAGTGACATTGGTCCAGGGCTTAATAATCTGCCAATAAACCAGTGCTCTTGGTGTAAGAGACATTTAGAATTTTAATTGGGGCCGGCCTTTCAGGAGGAAATGTAATTTTTCTTTCTCCCTTACCAGACTATTTTGAATTAGAGTAATAAGGAAGAAAGGTATTTACGGTCCTTCATTTTTCTGGTCATGTCATTTTGGCCTCTGCTTTTTTTTTTTTTTTTTTTTTTTTTTTTTGCCCAGATGCCAGGGTTCAAATTCAAGGCTCTAGTCTTTTATAAAAATTCCTCTTCCCAAAAACTATGTATATATACATTGCCGGCATATCTCCATTTCTATTTAGATTACAGCATCTTTGATGACCAACTATATATTTTTAAAAGTTGCATATTTTAAATACAATTAATTGATTTAAGTATAATTGTAATCAATATATTTGACTGAGTCTTCTCTATGCAAAGAAATTTAAATTCATCAGAGTCCCTCTTAAAGTGTTCTCTTATGCATCTCTTTATGGGCTCATGTGCATACATTATCTCATTTAATTTTCTTAACAACCTTGCGAACTAAGCAGGGCAGATATTATAATTGGCTGAATGAGAAAATTGGGGTCCAGGAAAGTTCCAGACTTGTCCACTCTCAGATGGTTGATGGGTGGATCTCTTTTTGCCTATCTGCGCTCATTGCATATAGTAAATCTTGTTTCTGAGAGTCATTAAATAGTAATAGATAAATGATCCATTGAAACCCTTCCTATTTCTGACAAAACCTTATTATGAGCAGGAGAAAGGGAACTGCTCTCTATAGCAAGGATGCACGTACTCAGATTACTCACTTAGCTGTCAGTTTAAAGAAGGGTGGCCAGGACGCAGCTCCGCTCCTCCCTAGGATGGATAGAGAGAGGGACCCTTCCTAGAACCCTGATCACAGTGAGCTGCCTTTGCTGTATAAGAATATGTGCTCATATTCTTTTTCCTGTAAGATCCTTGCAATGAAGAATACTGCCTCTCTACAGCATTTGCTTCTTATGTTTAACAAATACACGTTATTTTAGTTGATGTTATGTTAAAATATCATATTTAACAAATATTCATAATGCAACCTCATATAGATTAGATAGACAATGTTTTATAAATTATTCTTAGACAATCTTTGAAAAATGGCTCCACAAGCACTTTTTCCATGTATTTTTTATGCTCAGATATGTCACGCATCTGGTGGAAATTCCTGCAGAAGCGTAGGAAGTGAAGTGGTTACTTTGGACTAGAATAGCCAGGATACCTGATGGAAGTGGAAAGATATTTTATGACCTTTAAATCCAGTTCATCCAGGTTATTGAGCAGTGCCTATCATGTGCTGTATGCCTGGCTTGACAGTGAAGAACAGGAGGAACTTTCTGGGAACAAACATCAGGAGTAAATGTCTTGAGTTAGAAAGAGTAAAACGTATGTATTATTCGTAGCATGGCAATATAGATGAAGACTTGCAAAATAAGGGATCTTCTGTTTGAGAATAAATGGATCATGGGTTTAATGGATGGGATGGGAGATATGGGAGGCCCAGTCACCAGATCTGCTTTCTGAGAGTTTTGACCACTCCAGTTTCATGAATCAGATTCTTGTTATCTTAGAAGTATTATACTAATGATATATTCTTGCAAATCTTTAGCATTTAATTTAAAGAGAAACTTTACTTGCATCACATTTTTGTTATTATGCCTCTTAGCAAGAAATTAAGGTTTTTATTGCAGAGGAATTGAGTATGGAAATCTCTTCACAGATTTACTGAACCCCCTTACAAAGTCAGAGGAGTATCTGTTTTTAAAGATCTGACAAGCAATATCTTCTTATAAAATACTAATAATCAAATATCCCTTAGCTTTTAACATCAGAAGTCAGGTGAGTACGCTCTTAACAGATTGAAAAGCATTTGCTTTTTTGTCTTTGTTTTGATTTTTCTGGAAAATTCAAAACAACTCTTGCCGTTGTCCCAGTGACTTCAGTGTGGCTAAAGCCCATAGATATTTTCAGTCCTCATCTTCCTTGGCCTCTCATGCACTTTAGACACGTTGATCAGTTTCTCCTCCTTCAAACACTATCTCCCCCTGGTTTTCCTACTTCCTTGCACTCTCTGGCAGCTGACCGGAATGCTGACACAGACCCTCTCCTCTTCTCACTACACTTTCAGATAATTTCCTTGTGCAGGACCTGCCTCCCGCGTGTATCCACCTGAGTCACAATATTGTATTTCCGTCTCAACCCTCTCCGGTGACCTCCAGACTCTTAACTATGGTTTGCCTACAAGGTCCTCCGTAGTCTGCCCCAGGCTCATGTTCCTGCTGGACCTCCTCATAAACTCTGCCCTAGCCACACTGGATTCTTTCTGGGCCTCAGTTGTGCTGTTTCTTCCACCTTGAGCCTTCTTTTCTCCATCCATAGCTGGCTGTCTCTCATCTTCCAGGGCTCACATTGAATGTCACAGCTTCAGAAAACCTCTGCTAATTCTCCCTCTCCACGAGCCCCTCCACTCATTCCCAGTAAATGTTCGTTAAATAAGCAACAACCCAAGGAAAAAAACAACAAAACCTCCTTAAGTCACCTTCCTTCTCATCACCTGTCAATGAGAACCCAAGGCAAGGACAGTCTTCTGAATAATGCCGGCAATAAATGGACATTGTAGTCAATCATGCATATGACAAAGCCAAAAATCCACCAGTTTAAAGTAGAGTGGAACAGATGAGAAAACAAACCGAAACCCTGGTTATCTTATTTCTGATTGCTAGTTGGTGGACCTTGCTGTAAAATACCTCCATCCCATTAACTTTTTGTCAAAGAACCCTATTTACTTCCTTCATAGTAATGGTCACAAATGATCTTATCTTTGTTCTTTGATCTTTGTCTTCTAAATCCCCAGCATCTAGCATATGCTCCGCTCTTGGTGGACATACACACAGGGCCTTAGCTCTTGTGGTTCCCTCTGCCGGGAATGCCCTTCTCCCGGACACCCTCCCAGCGGGCTGCTTTGTCCCTTCCTGCAAGTCATCGCCCACATGGCACCATCACAGAGGATCCTCCCTCACTTCCCTGTCCCTGGGCCCTCTCCAGCCCATGCCCTGCTGTGTTTTTCTCCTTGCCCTGTTCTTGTCACTGCTTGACATATTATCAGCACAGTAGAGTTACCCACAGTATTTATGTTATTTTCCTTTAGATCTTTTTTGCTTCACTTACTTAGTTGAATCCTTTTAAGCAAAATATACTTATGATGTCATTTCACTGACCTTCAAATTGACTTTTATATTGTGGGTGGCAAAGAGTAAAGGCACGTCTGCTACCTTCATGTGATATGTCCTATTTGGGTATCTTTTAGAAAATTAATCTACAGCTCTATTCATGGCAATTGATTTTGGTACCCTTATATGTGGGAGAAATACATTTAGAATTAAAATTAACTTAGTTAAATTTTTGCTTTGTATTGGGCTTTAAGTTACATGTATAAGGCCTATCACAAGCTTTCAAAGATATATTTCATGAAAAACTTACTTCATGCTGGGGAAAGGCATCCACTAAAAACTTAAGTGTCATCAACCAAAAATAACTGGATACGCATATATTAGAGATTTTCTAAGACGCATTTTGTGTGTTCATTTGCTTGTCTCCCCAACTTTTATAACTGCCTAGAAGGCAGATACTATTGTAAAATCCATTTCACAGTTGAGAAAAGAGAGGCACAGAGATGTTCAATAACTCGCCTGAGGTAACACAGCTATTAAGTGGCCGATCCAGGACACAGAGGCCTCTCAGTAAACATTAGGTGAGGTAAACTTGTCACCGTATTCTGTCACTTGCTTGACTTCCCCTTTGGCAAGTCTCATGGGTGTCTCAAACACAAGTTCCAAACCAAGTTGGTGTTCTTCTATTTTACTCCCATTCTGGGTCTTCTCCCACCACTCTCTGGTTATGGGAGCCAGAAACTCAAGAGTTGTCCTTGACTTCACCCCTTTCCTCACTAGCCACATCTAACCTGTCACTTGGTCACATCCTTCGTTTCTCCAGAATTCCTCCATGGTTCTCCATCCTCAGCCTCGTTTGGGCTGCCATCATCTCCCTCTTGAACTGCTGCAGTAGTCTCCAAACTGATCTCTGTGTCTGCTTTGAACTTGCTCCAGTCCATTCTCCAGGTGGCAGCCAGAATCATCTTTTTCAAAACACAATTCGACTCTGTCCCACTCTACTTAAACTCCCTCATTGGCTTTCCCATTGAGTTTCAGATAAAGCCAGAATTCCGTCTGTTCTTCCCAGGTGTGATTCAGCACCCCATGCTCTCCAGCCTCCTCATGGCCGCTTCTCTCACTGTATTTGCCTTTGTTTAGGTCTCTGAACCCTCTAGGCTCCCTCTGGCCACAGACTTTCCACCTGGCTAGCTCCCTCTGCCTACCTCTAGCCTCTGAGAGCCTTTCTGCCTCTGATGAGGCTCAATCCCCTAGTAAGTGATTTTATTTACACAGTAGACACTCAATAGAGGTTAGATGTACTTTTTTTCTTAAAATATTGGACCACTTTAATTTTCTTACGTAATAACTATTTATTTATAGTGCCCAGCTTGAACATAGTTCCTGGATCTCATTATATACAAATGAAAGTTTAAAAGTTAAACTTCTGAACCATGAGATAGATTGGTTCCCATTCAAGTAATCCATTCACATTTTACCTACTCTAATGACTGGAATATGGTACAGTATACTCTGCACCCCTGACCTTCCTTTCTATCTGTCTCCTGTAATAATGTAGCTGTGGGCCAGGCGCGGTGGCTTATGTCTCTAATCTCAGCACTTTGGGAGGCCGAGCTGGGTGGATCATGAGGTCAGGAGTTCAAGACCAGCCTGGCCAACTACTGAAACCCCATCTCTACTAAAAATACAAAAATTAGCTGGGCGTGGTAGTCATAGCTTCTCAGGAGGCTGAGGCAGGAGAATCACTTGAACCCAGGAGGTGAGGTTGCAGTGAGCCAAGATTGCCCCACTGCACTCCAGCTTGGGCAACAGAGTGAGACTTCATCTCAAAATATCAAAATAATAATAATAATGTAGCTTGTGTTTTCAAGTTTGGCTGGATGGCTTCTGTTGGAAATTCGCCCTTTTAAGTTAGGAAGACAGGACCCCATCTTACTACTCTCTAGAAGCTAGTCTAATAGAACAAGTAGACTCAAGACAACTTGGACTAAATGCGCTATAAACCACAATGGAAAAACTGCAGTGAGGTATTCCCAGTAGAAATCTTGGAATTCCTTCAAGTATATTGAGATTTTGTTAGAAATTGAATTGCCAGTGTAATCCATCTTCCTTGTGAGAAAACGTTCAGATAAAGAGCTGAGGCCTAGCAGCATTAACCATTAGAACGTCCCTTAAATCAGTAAGCTACAAGTCTGGCCGCACGTTCCTGCCGCGCCTGGTGGTGTGCTCAAGTGGCTTTAGGCCGGAGCAGCACGACTGACAGCACATCCTAAACCAGGCAGGCACCGACAGTGCAGATCCCTGTGTCGACCGGGGGCCTTGCCTTGTTACAGTCTACGGAATGCAATTATGTTTTATTGTTGCACATAAGAAAAGCAGTTTTTCTTTCTGTTTTTCAGATTTTCCAAATGTGGTTATTGAAGGAGTCCTCCATGGGATATTTTACCCTCATCTACAGCCCAGGTAGAAATCCTACATGGCTAAAAGAAGCAGAAGCAAGTTTCGAAGTCACAGTCACGGAAATCAATACCTACCAAATTAACCTAAACTCTGTGATATATAACAGCTGCTAGTGGCAAAATTCACAGTCCCAGCTTAATTCAGGGCAGGGACGTTTCCATTAGAATGGTGCTCTTAAAAAAAGAAACTGAACTAGGGCGGTGGTCAGGCTAAGGCCAAGTGTTTAAGAAGTAGAATGTAGCCACCAGCTTAGAAACCCATGGAAAGGAGGCCACAGGAGATTCCTGGGAGCGCTGGGTGTCGCAAAACAAAGCCACTCTCTGCTTCAGTCACACCATTTGCTAATTGAAAAACGTGTCCTGAATCATACTGAGACTGATCAACTTTGGTAGCTTTTTTGTTCAGATCTTACGACATACTACTCTTCTCACCGGGAGATTTTCTCAGCCAGTGGTAGTACATTCTGAAATGCTGGCATCAGGAGACGGTCACAGACACACACTGCTAAACGTGAGGAAGGAATTAAACTGGAAATTAAGTTATACTGACAATATTATGGCATTTTTAAGATCATGGCATTTTAATTTACATTAGAGTGGGTTGCATCATACTCAGGGGTTAGCTTCCAAGGTCAGTATATAGGTAAAATGGGCTATTAGGATGATCCTTGAAAACCCTTTAGAAAGGTGCCATGTTGGAAATCTGTACATCTACCACAAGTAGCTTTTCCTCCCAGGTTGGAAAAAAAAGTGTTTCTTTGTTTGAAGACCAAGTGAAGTTTTTGGTGTTTATTTAGGGGCCATTTTGTATAAAAAGCACATTCTTTTAAACACCAGAATCATACTCAGTGCTGCAAGATGCTTGCCCTGTGAGTGGCAGATGTGAACTGACAAGGAGGGAAGCACCAGCGGGCGGACAGCACCCACCTGTGTTTACTCGGGGAACCGCATTCATCGTAGGTGGGACCGCCACAGGATTTCCTGTTACTTTGCTATGGCTCCCTTTTCACTGACCTCATGTGTTAATGTAAGTTAAATGTGTTTATGATATAACTCCACTCTACGTCATGCTTTGAGTAATAAAGGATAAAAGCATATATACTACTTACATGTATGTGCTGTATGTGGGCATTTCATTGAGATTTAATTAATAGCTAGCCTATTTATGGTTGTTCATTTTAATAGGTTTTGGGGGGGAAGTATTTAAAATCAAAACCAATAACTACATCATGGTTTTTGATTAATATCTAAACATACAGTTTTAAGTCTCCTGCAAACTTGTTATGATAGATATGTTATGATAGATTCTGTTACTATATGTTGGAAACAAGCAAGAAATAATCAAGTGGTGTTAACCAAAAATAACGAATAGTTAAGTATTGGAGTTTTTTTTTTTTTAATGTTTTGTGTTATTAGCTATTTGGAGTTAAATAAAAACAGAGAACAAGAAAATATTTGAGTTTGTCTTCTGCTCCTAGGATTTCATTGGAAACATGGTTTGTATCTGTCTGTTTATACACACAGCCTCTCACACGTTCACATAGATGTTTATAAAAAGCTACCTCATTATTAAGTCAGTAGATGTTCATTAAATATTTGATGATTTACCAAGATAATAAGAATTTTTCTTAAAAAGACCAAGTATCTATAGCGATATACTGCCCAAGAAATCTTTTTTGAGAATTAAATTTTTTCTTAATGATGACTTTTACTTTTTATATTTATGTAAATTTTATTTTTTTTATTTCCCATGTCAGACAGGTCATATGCAGACATCGTAACAAGATTTGCAGGAGGCACACCTCACGCAAGGGTGGGAAAACCCAGTCGTCACGCCCGTGCACTACAAAAGGATTGTATTTATTTACATTTTTAATGTGTAGTTCTATCAGTCAGGGTTATTGAAGGAACTAGAAACCCGTGTAGGTTTTTTAAGAAACCCGTATAGGTCTTTTAAGCAGGAAAGGCTGTAATGCCGAAAACCGAATGCTTACAGAATCTTTTGGAAGGGTGAGAGGAGTGCACTCCTGGTAGGTGTCCACAGACAAGTTCTAGAATGCCCCAGCAACTTCTAGCACTGACCTGCCTGGGAGCTGCAGCCTGTGCTGTAAGCAGGAATATAGTGAGTCAGGAGGCTGTGAGCAAAGCTCTTAAAGTGAAAAACATCATGAGAGCTGCAATCCAGGGATCAACAAGTAGGATCAAAAAGTACCTGTTATCTGTGAGATATGGAGCTCCCAGGAGATACAATGGCTATATCTCCAAGAGTTACGGCCTCATAGCAGCACCCAGGAAGCTAGTGACTGGGCCTGCATCACAATTGCCTCTCAACACCTGTGGCCTTGCTTGCCAGCAACCATAAGTGGCAGGAAGATGGTGTTTGCCCACTCGCACCTCCCACTCCAGAGCTCCCTTCAACACACATCCAGTTTATAGAACCTTATTCTCCATCCCAGGTGCAGGGAGTCTGAAAAAGGAGCTGCTAGCCTTCTGCAGCTCAGGAACACACTGGGTAAGATGATCAAACATATTTCCATCATTTCCATGGTTGAAAATTTAATTAAAAAAATATGTAACTATAGATAAAAAAATAAATTATTGTCTCATCTTAACTCCTGCATACCCAATTCTTCTCCCACAGGCAATCACTGTACTTCATGTGTCTACTTTGAGTAATATTTCATCTACATGCAAGCAGATAAACTGTATATTTAGTGTACATATATTTAATTTCCCCGCTTTTACAAAAGTGGTAGCATGCAATACTCATTGCTTTCTATCTGTTTTTATTTAACACTATCTTGGGCATTCTTTTTATATCAGTATATAAAGTGCTATCCTCTTTAAAAAAAAAAAAAAAGTGTGGGTTTTCTTTAATTTGTGTAACCAGTACCATTTTCCTTTTGGATTTCACTAGGCATATCTGGCCCATATTGCTGTACATAATCCCCACAGGTCATCAGAGGGACCCAGTGGGAAGTAATTGAATCATGGGGGCAGTTACCCCAATGCTGCTGTTCTCGTGATAATGAGTGAGTTCTCATAAGGGACTTTTCCCCTGTTGCTCGGCACCTCTCCTTTCTGCCATTATTTGAAGAAGGATGTGTTTGCTTCCCCTTCCTCCACAATTGTAAGTCTCCTGAGGCCTCCCCAGCCATGTGGAACTGTGAGTCAATTAAACCTCTTTCCTTTATGAATTACCCAGTGTTAGGCAGTCCTTTATAGAAAGTGTGAGAGCAGACTAATACATATATCCATGTTCATAGCATATATTCATAGTAGCCAAAAGGTGGAAGCAACCCGAGTGTCCTGCGATGGATGAATGGATAAAAAGGGAGGAAATTCTGACACATGCTGCAGCATGGATGAAACTTGAAGACATTCAGAGACACAAGCCAGTCACCAAAATGCAAATACTCAGCTGGGCGCAGTGGCTCGCGCCTGTAATCCCAGCACTTTGGGAGGCTGAGGCAGATGGATCACAAGGTCAGGAGTTGAAGACAAGCCTGACCAACATGGTGAAACCTTGTCTCTACTAAAAATACAAAAATTAGCCGGGTGTGGTGGCATGGGCCTGTGGTCCTGGCTACTCGGGGCTGAGACAGGAGAGTTGCTTGAACCCGAGAGGTGGAGGTTGCAGTGAGCTGAGATCACATCACTGCACTCCAGCCTAGGTGAGAGAGCTAGACTTCGTCTCAAAAAAAAAAGCAAATACTGTTTATGATTCCATTTCTATGAAGTATCTGGAATAGTCAAATTTGTAGAGACAAAGTGGAACTTTGGTTGCCAGAGGCTGGGGGAAAAGAGGAAATGAGGAATTAGTGTTCAATAGGTTTCAGCTGGGGAAGATGAACATGTTCTGGAGGTGGATGTTGGTGATGGTTGCTTAACAATGCAATGTACCTAATGCCATAGTATTGTACAGTAAAAATGGGGTTAAAATAATTTTATGTCATTTATATTTTACCACAATAAAAGCAGTAAAGGCTTTTGAATGAGTGCAGGCTCAGAGAGTAAGGGTATAGCGATCAATTAGCACTGTCTGTTCTAGGTGCAGGAGAGCTTTGGGACATATACCAGTTACTAGTTTCACATCCCTGGCAACCTCTACAATCCTAAAACAGTAGTTCTAAGCTAGAAATTTGCATCAGAATCACTTGGGATTCTGAATCAATAAATCTGGCCAGGACCTGTCCTTGGGTAGTTAGAAACACCACCCAGTTGACTGATATACACCTGTGTTAGGGACCACCAATTGAGGGAAATGGTTTATGACCCACCCTTTAGCTATCTCCTTCAATTACTGACTTTTGTAACTCCTTCAGAATCCAGTACCAAGAAAATATCTATTCAACCGCTGAGGTATTATATGAGGCTGCCGGAAGAGACTCTGAAGAAGCAGGAAGGACAAGTTTAGGTACTGGTCTCAATAGATGCCTTGTGCATAATTAGGAGGTTGTAAATTCATTCATTTATTGTTCAATGAAATGCATTTGGGTTCCCCCACTGGATTAAGGCACTGTGTTAATCACAGTCGTAATCCTTGTTTTCTGGAATTGGCCATTTACTAGGAAGGGTTTTTCCATCTTAATGAATTGGACATGAAGTTCAGTGATTAAGACTATCTTCCTCCAGCCTCTCTATTCTCCTTGCAAGTCATTGTCATTTTGGCTTTGTTTTGGTTTTTATCCTTAATGATAATTACAGATTTTGAATTCAGCAGTGGAAACCCAGGGAAGCTGCAGGCACTAACTCAAAACCAAAATGTCTGCAACATTTTTCTGTCTGTGGAGACACACAGTGCCAGAGACAAAGGGGCATCTATTTTTATGTGACAGGAAGGAGGGCATATTCTCTATGTCAAGTAATTGGAATACACATAGTTTACTAGAGAAAACTTTGTGTCCTAAGAGTGTGATTGTAAATCTGGCCTATAAAATGTGAACCATTTTCTGTCTTCATTGCACTTAATAGTAGTTACAGTGAGATCATTGGTGTCCCTAACTGCAATGTTCCATGCCATTTAAATACTCCTGTGTACTAAGTTTCTACTGGATGTCATGTGTTGTTGAACAAGGGTTTAGCATATTTTATCCCGTTCTTTACATAGTAGTTTTTAGTGCCCCCATTTTTTTGAAGAAGAAATTGAAGATCAGTGAGATTAGTAAAAATAAACAGCTAACATGAATGAATACTAATTTGGGGACCAGGAGGCACTGGGCTAAATCGTGTTCACAGTCTATCTCATTGAAGCTTCACAACATCTTTAAAGATGTGTGTATTCTTATTCCACTTTACAGTGAGAAGAAGGAAGCTTAGAGAAGTGAAATAGCTTGACCAAGGATACCAGTTAATAAGGGATCTGGATTTGAACCTTTGATCTACAGAGCTTGGGTGAATCCACTTCCCAATCAGCCTCACAGTAGGATTGTATTTATGTGTGTGTTTGTGTGTGTGTGTTTAATTGGAGACTCTTTGCACTGTCGCCCAGGCTGGAGTACAGTGGCATGATTTCGGCTCATTGTAGTCTTCACCTCCCAGAATCAAGAAGTCGTTCCACCTCAGCATCCCAAGTAGCTGGAACTATAGGCACATGCCATTACACCCAGCTAATTCGTGTGTGCATGTGTTTTCTGCAGAGATGAGGTTTCACCATGTTGCCCAGGCTAGTTTTGAACTCCTGGGCTCAAGCAGTCCTTCCATCTCAGCCTCCCAATGTGCTGGGATTATAGTCGTGAGCACTGCATGCAGCCCATGTGCAATTCTGAACCAGACATGAACTCTTAAATCAGAAAGAACTGGTATTGCAATAGCTGCTAATGTTACCACACTGTTTTAAATTGCAAAGTGCTTTCCCATCTCACTTGATTAAACCACGCTCCATGCTAACAGCAGCCTCCTCCCAGGCCTCTCTGCTTTCATTTTTACTGCAATCCATTCTTGACACAAAAGTCAGGGTGATCTTCTTAAAATGTTGATCAGATGGCATCACTGTCTTATTCAAAGTTCTCCAGTAGATTCCATTCCCACTAAGCATAACATTTAAATTTCTGCTGCCCTCTCCAAGGTCTTTCTACATTCTTTCTGCAGGTGCTCACTGGCCACAGTGGCCTTTGAGTTCCCAGAACATGTCAACCTTGGTCTATCCACAAGACCTCTGGATCTGCCAGTCTCTGAAACCCTTTGCATCCCTCTTCAAAGGCTGGTTAATGCTCACCCTTTAGTTATCAGCTTAAATGTCCCCTTTTCAAAGAATTCTTTGGTCACCCCATCTGAAGTAGCACCCTAGGCCCCACTCCATACCATTATTTTGTTGTTCCTTCCTTCAGAGCTGCTATCACCATCTGAAGTTATCCTGTTCGTGTACTTGTTACTGCCTTTCTCCTTCAAAGTATGTGAACTCCATTAGAGCAGGGGCAGCATCTGACTTGTGGACAGTTTCTCCGGTGCGAGGCCCAGAGTTGATGTTAAGAACCACTGTTGAATGGGTGGATGGATGGCAGCCTATCTTCTGGCCCCCAGGTCAGTGCTGGCTGCATATTCCATAGCAGGGGTTTCAGAACTGTGCTTTGAGTAAATGTCCTTGAAATCAGGGTTGGCTAACATCTTCCCAGATTCCAATTGGTATTTGTTACATTCTTCTTGTTCTGAAAACAGTGACTTTCTATAGTTTGCTCACCAGTTTGACACAGAGTGATTAATGGATTATGTAACTGTGTATTTGGATGATCTCTTAAATGTGTATTCTTTTTACAAATACCTAAGCTAATTCAGTGATTACAAACCATAATTTTATGACACCCCAGGGCAGTGGTTTTCAACATGTTGACTCTGAACCAGTAGCATCATCATCACCTCAGAACTTTGTACAACTTTTCAGGGCCTATCCCAGATTTGCAGAATCAGGTAGTCTGGAAATTTGACTAGCCCTCCAGGTGATTCTGATTCACCCTAAGGGTTGAGAACCACAGTCCTAGGGCACCTCCAATTATTTTTATGTTGCACATTTTTAAATGTTCAATTTTCTTTTAATTAAAAAAGAAAAAAACACCACTTCAATACTTCTAGAAGGAGCAGGCACAAAATCAAACAGAATGCCAGCATAGCTACTGCAAGATGCTGGTGACCTTGTAGTGGGGGTTACAGGCATGAGCTAACCTTTAAGGCAGCATTCCAATGCACAGCAACTCAAGCAAATATCAGGATGATGGGACAAAATAAGTAAGATATTTTAAATGTAATAAAAAATAAAAAATATCATATGCACTTAGAAATTATCACCTTTTACATGAATTTTTATACCTAGTTATAGTAGCTTTTCTTCATCACAGCAGGCAACATGGTGTCTTTCTAAAACCTTGGTATCTTTCCAAATTCTACCTTAGTAAAGTAGAATTTTTGCCCTTATGAAATTTACAGAATAATATGATATTAGCTGGATAAGTACTTGAACAATTGTAATTATACTTGAACAATTATAATTATAAACTATGTGTTAAGTGTGATGAAGGAAAATAAGAAGGTTTACTTATACCTAGATTTGGGCAGGCCAGGGCCCTTCTCTGAGGTAGTGACGTTGAAGTTGAGACCTAAAGAATATTGGAGTAATTAGCCAGGAAAAGCAAAGGGGCAAGGGAAGGGTGTTGCAGAGACATCAGCAAGTTACAAAGCCCCAAATCATAAGAGAGCTTCAGTCAAGGTCCTAAAGGAAAGCCATTGAGCTTGGAGCATAATGAGGGGCTGGGGCTAGTGAGGTGGGCAAACTGTGCAATTCAGGGTAATGTATGGATCACACGTAGAGTTATTTTTAAAACATTACTTCGGTTGCTTATGGTGAGTGGACTGGACAGGCTTAGGATTTGAAGCAGAGAGACTTAGGAGGCCACTTGAGTAGATGGGAGGTGACCTGGTTTAAGGTGGCAGCAGTGGAGAGGATGAGATAGAGATAGATTCAGGATGTATTGCAGCGCTACCAGTAAACTTGCTGATGGATTTGGATGTGGAAGACAAAGGGAAGGGAGAAAGAAGTGAAGGATAGCCTTCTGACTTGAATAACTGGGTGAATGTTGGTGCTATTCATGGATGGAGGTTGGAAGGGGGGAACTCCTGTCTTTAGGATGCTCAGGTTACCCCACATGGCTGGAGAAATCCTTTCCTGGGCCTTGTTCCCTCCTCTAGTTCAAACATTTTCACTTTCCATTTTCAGGATGTCTGCAGCTGTTTGAAAGTAAATCTAGATGAAACAGTGACCCATCAGCAGAAGGAAATGAGCCTCGGTTTTCCCCACTGTAGTGACAGATTTTTGCAGAACCATTTGCAGGTTTTTCCCCCTGTTTACTCTGGTAAGGAACAAAGCAGAGCACAGAGATCAAACCTGTGACTTTGTGCTCAGTCAAGTACATCATCACTACCTGCATTCACAAGTGCTGAACGGTGTGAGTGTGTATAATTGTCTCATGGGGCCTCAGGAGGGCCACATAAATCACCCAACAAGTGGGGATTCTAATTTAATGGTTTGCAGAGTGGATGCCGTGCTTCACAGTACCTAAGGGAGGGTGGTTCCTCCTCACCTTTCAGGTCAGATGTCACCTGCTCCACTCAGGCCCGCCTCCCCTGGGCCTGTCCTCTTGCCATCTGCCACCCACCTCATTTTTGCCAGTCTACTTCCATCATGCCTTTCAAACCTCAACTCAGAAAATAAAGAGAAAAAGGTTTGTTTCTCTTTAAGTTTTTTGAAAAATAGTAGAAACAGTTGAAAGGTAAGTCCAGTGTTTGACAATCTTTAGGGGCTTGAGAGATTATTATAAGTACCTCAGTCTAAATTCGAGCATATATTTTTTTGGCCATTTTGATATGGTTTGACTATGTCCCTACCCAAATCTCATCTTGACTTGTGGCTCCCATAGCTTCTACATGTTGTGGGAGGGACCCTGTGGGAGGTGGTTGAATCATGGGGAGTTGGGTCTTTCCCATGCTGTTCTTGTGGTGCTGAATGAATCTCGCGAGATCTGATGGTTTTGCAGGGGAGAGTTTCCCTGCCCAAGCTCTCTTCTATTGTTGGCCACCGCATGAGAGGGGCCTTTCACCTTCCACCATGATTGTGAGGCCTCTCCAGCCTTGTGGAACTGAGTCCATTAAACCTCTTTCTTTTGTAAATTGTGGAAGCTTGGATATGTCTTTACAGCAGCCTGAAAAGGGACTAATATACATTTATTCTGAACATACTTACTGATCATTAATTAGGTGTGAAATAATCTGGGAGTAGATTAGGAATGAGATGTAATCCTTGCTCTAAAGGAGCTTCCAGTTCAGGGATGACATAGGAGACACCAGGGCCATAAGCAGGTACAGCTCAGAGTGAGGGAACATCTGAAGATGTCTTCCTGAAAGAGCCCCACACTGAGTCCCCAGGGATGGCCAGCAGCAAACAGAGAGCACCTTGCACAAGGCTTGGAGCTAATTCAGGGGTTCTGAAGTCTTTGTAAGAGAGGCTGTGCTTCAAGCAGACACAGTTAAAGCAAGTCTGGAGTTTCTCTGCTCCAGGCTGAGCAGTTCTTCCCCCTTTACTCTGGACATTGTGTCACTGTGCAGCTCCTGGTGTCCAGAAGAAGTACCAGAAGCAGACTTGTCTTTCAAGACCAGGGAAGAAAAAGGATCATTTCCAAATAGAGATAGCTGGATCTTGGAAATTGATCCAGGATATCTGTAACAGGATATCATATTACCACCGTGGACAGATGGTGACTGTAGTTTTAACAGCACTTTTAAAGGCCCACTGTGCTCCAGGAAGCAAGTCCTTCACATGCTCTGAAAAATTAACAGGAGTGGAAACTTACCTGCCTGCTAAAAAAAACTTTAAAAGTGGGTAACAGAAGGGTTTTGGTAAGTTGGGTCCTCTTAAATCCGCCAGATCTGAGAGTTCCCTGCATCCTAATCTAACCAGGGTGGGATTTATTTTATTTATTTATTTATTTTTATTTTATTTTTTTTCAGATGGAGAGTCTCACTCTGTTGCCCAGGCTGGAGTGCAGTGGTGCAATCTTGGCTCACTGCAATCTCTGCCTCTCGGGTTCAAGTGATTCTCCTGCCTCAGACTTCCAAGTAGCTGGAATTGTAGGCACCCGCCACCATGCCCAGCTAATTTTTGTATTTTTAGTAGAGACAGGGTTTCACCATATTGGACAGGCTGGTCTCGACCTCCTGACCTTGTGATCCGCCCATCTTGGCCTCCCAAAATGCTGTGGTTCCAGACGTGAACCACAGCACCTGGCCTAGGGTGGGATTTTAAATGCATTTTGTTTTAGCTCTTACTATGTGTCAGATGGTCTTTTTTTCTGACTTGATTCCTGGGACTAGTCACTCCAATTCTGCATTAATGCCAGTTGTTTTTCCACTACTCTAAATGTCAGTAACACTAGCAAACCTTAGAGGAGCTTATGTTATATCACACCTAAAACTTCCTCTTGGCCAAAATCTTAAATCCACAAGATGAATTACAGACTTAAGTAAAAGCTGTTATGTACTTAACAGCACCAACATTTTCCATTACAAATACTGTTTTTATTCTTCTTTAATTTGAAAAAATTTAAAAAAGTGCCTTGAGGGGGCTTTGAATTTCCAAGCTTTCTAGATCAAAGATTTCTTCAGCTGTCTGGATTATAGGAATGTTGAAAAACAAAAACAAATCATTTCCCTGCTATAAAATCCTTGCCATGTTTTTGTCTTTATGTAACTCAAAACGGCTGAACTGAGAAATGAGGTTGGTGACTCCTGCTCAAAACCTAAAATTTAATCAGAAATAAAGTAATTGATAATTCCAAAAATGTTATTCCAATGAATTGACCAAAAAGTAAATTTTACTGAACTCTTATTTGATGACCCAGAAAACTACTAAAGAGCACTTGCAAGAGAACAAAATAGATCATGGCTAAGAATACCAAAATATTTTAAATTGTTGATTAAAGTGATTCAAGACTAAATTATAATAATTAGGGCTTGGTGGTGCTGTCCAGTGTAAATCTTCCTGATTCCACATCCGCCCACAGCTATAAATGTGTCCTTTTAGTAATGTGATCTTCAAAACAGTGAACTATTTATTTCAAAAGCTTTTGCAGAAAACATTAGATTATAAAAAGTAACAGTTCCTATTTTCATAGTCATCAGTTTGCTCATGTTTTCTTTATGAGGCCTGACCCTTGGTATGGCCTTAGCTCTTAGTCATCTGGCATAATAGATAACATGATAATTTACCAGTGGCGTACTAGTGGGCTCAGAATTTCAGCACTTCCAAAATGAAGTGCTTTTTGCTTTGTCATTAGAGAGAAGTCATGTATGCTCACAGTAGTGAAAAAACTAGATGGCATGTATGGTGTAAAGCACATGTCCTCCTGCATGGCAGAGAGTGATGGCTATATGTTATCGCACATTGAGATATGAAGCACTTTCGCATGGATCAGAAGTCAGTTGTTTCCAATTTCGCCTCCATGTTATCTTTATTTAAAATTTAAAAAATTATTTTCTAATTATTAAAAATAAATGTACCCTAGAGAAAAAAACTGAAAAAAGTAAAAATACAGAGTATAAAAATTCCACCATTTGCATTTACTTACGTGAATTTGCATGTTGTTGTCCTTATGAGAATGTTTACATAATTGAGATCATGCTGCATACAGAATTTCTTTAAAGAAAATTTAAAACAATCATTTTCTCATGTTACTCCGAGTTCTCTAACATCAGTCCTAATGAATGCATAGGATCCTATTATGGGATGTATGCTTTATAACCATTTTGGGACACTGAAGTTGCTCCCAGTATTTTGCTATCATAAATATTCAGCAATTCACATCTTTACACATAAAAAATGTTCTATATTGCTATGTTAGGTAAAGACTTTAGGTTGCAAGTCAGAGGAAATCAGTTTGCCTTGGCTTAAGAAAAAAGAAAATGTATTCGTTTACGTAGCGGAAAGCTAAGCGTGCATTAGCTTTGGGCACAGCTGGACGCAGCAGCTAAATGATGTTTTCAGAAGCTTTCGGTCTTTTGGGCCACTTCCTTCTGTGCTGGCTTTGCTCTTAGGCCTGTTCCTTTTTATTCTCTTTTAGAAAGATAGTAGCTCTTTCCCAGTCATTCCAGAAGTCCAATGATGGCTCATTCATATGAGTGAGGTCCAGCACCTAGGCCTGAGCCTGTCACTGGAGCCAGGGTAAGAGAATGTTCTAGATGGCCAACAGGAGAGCTCTGCTCCCTCTCCCACATCCCCGGCTCTGTTCATCTGGCCCCTTTGCTGTTTCCTGAGCCCACCCAGGCTGCCTGTCACTGAGGACCACACTTCTCGTCCCCTCTGCCTCCACACTGTCCCCCCCACTGTCCCCACGGCATGGTGCTCCCTCACTTCCTTCAGTCCCTCCTGACCACCCCCACTGTCTCTTTGTTTTCCCTGAATTCACAGACCTATTGCTCCCTGATGTTGTGTTATATATTCATGTAGTATAAATTATCACCTTCACAGGAACCACAAGGGGTGACACTGTTTGTTTGTGGCTCTAGCCCACCCTATAACATTGATACTATTTATCAAGTGAGTTAATGAACAAGTCTGCCAGGCCGGGTGTGTCCCCATCTGTAGGGTCAGCTCACCCTAAGGACTACAGATGGGTGAGGGAAGGATAGGATGTGATTTCTCAAAAGAAAAAAAAAATGGGCAGCTATCACCAGAACAAGCAGACTAAATGCTGGGCTAACTGAAACACTGATGTCCCTTACCATTTCAGATCACTTTCTTTCTTTCTTTTTTTTTTAACGGGTTTTCGTTTTTTTCCAAAAATTGCACCAACGTAAAGCAGAGCTTTAGTTGATGCGAGCGTGCTGTTTAGGCATTAGCAGTACTGCCCTCACTATGCGCTCATTGGACAGTAGCACAACCCCAATCCCAGGAGCGAGAAATTCCAAGGATATGAATGTTTGGGTTTCCTGATAAGGACTGCTTTCACTTTTACCCCCTCCCCCACCCCATATGAATTCTCCTTATAGCAGATAAAATAGTATTTCTTAGATGCAGATCATAACATCATACCCTTCACTGACTTCAGATAACTTTCCTCTGTACCATGACCAAAACCCTGGCATCCAGGCCCAAATTGGTCCAGTCTCAGCCTTACCTCTGACCACGCCCCCATTCTGCTTCCCTTTGTGCACCAGGCCCTAACACACTGGCTTTCTCTTCTGCCCTGGAATTCACTCATCCTTATCATGGGACCTTCATATTTTTTCTTCCTCCCTCCTGGAAGGCCCTTCTTACCGCTTCCTACCCTTCCTTCTGGCCTTAGCACAAATGCCATCCCTCAAGAGGCCCAAGAGGCCTTCCTCTTCCATGATGCTTCTCTCCCAGCCTCTCCAGCAGATATGGGCATATATATATATATATATATATATATTTTTTTTTTTTTAACAGAATTCACCCTTTTTATTTGTTTCCTTGTTTATTCTGTCTTCCCCACTAGACTGTAAGCCCCATGAGGCCCTTTTCTGTCCATTATTGTATCCCCAAAAGTCAAACTGGCACCCAGCAGATCAAAGACACTCAATAAATATTTGTTGAAAAAAAATTAACAAATTGCTCTCCAAGAGTATTGTAGCAATTTATGAATCAGCAGTAGGAATACTCAATTCATTTCTCATGGATGCTATTTTCTTAGAAAACAACTTGAGATAGATTCTTTTGGATCCTCACTGCATGAGTCCTGGAGGAGAAGCAATGGCACTGTTTTCTAACAGACAACACTTCCCATCTGAACAGAAATCAAGCACACTGTTATAGCCAGGTATGTTATAACAAGGACCTAGTAGAATTTCACTTTCCCGTTTTTTTTTTTTTTTCTTAAAGATAGGGTCTTGCTATGTTGCCCAGGCTAGAGTGCGGTGGTAATTCACAGGTATGATCCCACTACAGAACAGCACAGAAGAAGTTTTGACCGGCTTTGTTTCCAACCTGAACCAGTTCCCTCCTTAGGCAACCTGGTGGTCCCATGCTCCCTTGTGATCACAAATTTTTTTTTTTTTTTTTTTTTGAGATGGAGTTTTGCTCTTGTTACCCAGGCTGGAGTGCAGTGGCGTGATCTCAGCTCACTGCAACCTCCGCCTCCTGGGTTCAAGCAATTCTCCTGCCTCAGCCTCCCAAGTAGCTGAGACTACAGGCACGCGCCACCATGCCCAGCTAATGTTTTGAATTTTTAGTAGAGACAGGGTTTCACCATGTTGACCAGGATGGTCTCGATCTCTTGACCTCGTGATCCACCCGCCTCGGCCTCCCAAAGTACTGGGATTATAGGCGTGAGCCACCGTGCCTGGCCTGGTGGTCACCATATTGATGCCAAACTTAGTACAGATACGCAATCAGTATAGCTCACTATAGCCCCAAATTCCTGGGTACAAGCACTCATCCCACCTCAGCCTCTTCAGTAGCTGGGACTACAGATATGTGCCACCACACCTGGCCTCATCTAGTTTAAATACAGCTTGAGTGATTTGTTGTTGTTGTTTGAGACAGGGTCTCACTCTGTTGCCTGGTGCAATCACAGCTCACTGCAGCCTTGAACTCCTAGACTCAACTGATCCTCCCACCTCAGCCTCCTGAGTATGTGGAACTACAGATGTACACCAACATAACCAGCTAATTTTATTTTTTTGTAGAGACAGGGTCTCACTATGTTGCCCAGGCTAGTCTCAAACTCCTGGGCTCAAGCAGTTCTCCTGTCTCAGCCTCCCAAAGTGCTGGGATTACAGGCATGAGCCACCATACCCAGGCTTTATAGCCTCAGTCTTAATCCCCTTATGAAAGTAACAAAAAATATTCCTATTGCAATTGGACTCAAGATAACTTTCTAAAAATGTTACACTGAATAACAATAAGTGAAAAATCAGCTTAAGCATATGAGATGTGGATGAACATAACTTGAGTTATCTAATTGTGTTTGTAGTTTGATTTATAAAATCTTCCTAATTTGTTCACTATTAATGCTAGAGAGTGTATTTTTGTATATTTATTTTTTTAAAGAACTTTATTTTTTAAAAAAGTATTGCAGAAAGAGTTAGTCTATATAAAAAGCATTTAATATAAAGAACACCAAAGCACCTTTTTATCAGGAAGAAATCCCTATGACATATCTCAGATTATACTAGTCAAATTTCCCTTATCTGAATTTCTACTTGGATACAAAATAATAAACATATCCTCATCTGTTTCAGACAAATCTTTAGCATTACCCAACAGAGGGATCATAATGAATTCAGAAAAAATATTATTGCATTAAAAAAATAGCCAATTCAAAGTTTTTCCAGTTTAAAAATAGCACCACTTGAGGGGATATATTTCAGTTCAAAGTCCCTAAGCAGGGGGTTTACTAAAATTCAAGCACACTAAAGGCTGAGGGTTTGACTTTCATAACTTCTCTATGATCTGGGGTAGCAAATTAAAAGAAAGTAAACAAACAAACAAACCAAAGAATTGAAAGACACACAGCAGACACACACACATACTCCTGCCAAAGTGTGTCTGTTTTCTGCCAGTTGTGTCACCAGTCAGCAACCTCAACCACAAAAGGTGTTTTCACGTCTATCTTGCCACTGTTGACGATTGAGCAGTTGGTGAGTGGACGGTCATGCCCATCAGTTGCTTGGAGCTCTATGGAGTGTACCACTGTCTGGTGAGAGAAAAGCAGATGTGTTTTAATTCTGACCAGCAGCTATAGCAATCTAAAGGTTAAACCAGAGCCAACTCCAAAAGTGTAAGTGGGAATGTTTTTTTCTTTTTTTTTTTTTTTCTTTTTTGACTACTAAGACCATGCTTGCTAACTGTGGAAAACTTAGAACATTCAGAAAATATATACATCACATAATAAAATACATCCATGACCTTCTTACTCAAGAGACCACACTGGTATTATTTCCTCACTTATCTTTAAATAAGCATTTTATATTCTAAAAAAAAAAAAAAAAAAAAAAAGATTTTTGTAAACACCCAGCTCTAATGAAAGGCATTTCCATTCACCTGCTATAAGCCAGTGTAAGAGTTAACATGGAGTCTGAGTCACTTTCAGTTCCATCCTATGATAGGTATGGACATGATAAAATGGGCCAGAAGGCAGATCCAGAAGTGGACCTACTTCTAAGTTTGTCCATTTTAAAGGTGACCCAAGCCATTAACCTATAAGTTAAGCCTAAGACTAATGTAACCCCAAGTCCTCACAGTGCTGTGAAGACACCTTTCTCTACCCTGGAAGGCTTCACAAGCCCAACAGAACTGTATTTCACACTGAAGGAGGTTAGCTCTGGTTACGGACCAAGAAAGTAGGTTTTTGGTGGGTTTCCCAAACAGTGCAGAGGCTACCAGCTCAGTTCCCAAACTTGTGTTAAGTAGAATCAGAAAAGCAGGTAGTTGTGGAAGAACTGCAGTGAGCAAGATTGGCTTATTTACATTTGGATGAGGGAGCAGAACAAGTCACATGGAAACAAACAAAATACAATATGGAAGAGGGCAAGGGAGACAAGGATGGTCCAGGCCTGGGTCAGGCAGATTTCACAGTAGCCAGTTTAGGAGATGAAAGAGCTACTTCAGTCAGCTGTGAGGCAGAAATACTGAGAAAGAGAGAGAATGAGGATTTTAGGAAGTGTTCCTATGGGTTGTGAATTGGACTGCTTTGACATTCTTTGAGAACCAACAGTATAGATTCAAATTCTCTTCAGTAATTTTTGGTTGCTGTACTGTGTCTCTGTGAATGTGACCTAGGTGTCTGAGCTGAACCACATAGGATTCTGGAGTTGTTTTGTTTTGCTTTGTTTTTAACAATTTTATTTTTAATTCTGGTAAGAAACATATAACATAAAATTTGTCATCTTACTCATTTATAAGTTCACAGTACAGTGGTGTTGAGTATATTTACATTGTTGTGCAACCAATCTCCAGAATTTTTCATCCTGCAAAACTGAAACCCTATACCTATTAAATACAACATCCCATTTACCTCTATTCCCAGCCCCTGGCAACTACCATTCTACTTTCTGTTTCTATCAATGTGACCATTTTAGAAACTTCATATAAATGGAATCATATAGTATTTGTCTTCCTACAACTGGTTTATTTCACTTAACATAATGTCCTCAGAATTTCCTTCCTTTTGAAGACTGAATAATATTCCATTGTATGTATATATGGGGTCCTGGTATAGATTGGTTCCATTAAAAAGGGCTTTACATTTATAGAAAGTAGTAAAATAAATCAACTTAAGTACTTAATTTCTCCTTGTCAGGTCCCTAGCTGCTGCACCAATGACCCTAAGAATTAAAATGTCATACCATATATAATTTATTAACCTTTGAAGAGGCCAGTCAGCTATATAATGGATCTCCAACAAGCATATTTTAAGATCAAAATAAATCACTGAAAGTACTCTCATTAAAAATATAAAGCTTTGAAAGGGAAAACATGTATCAATTTACCATCCCATCAATGACTTTTCCAAATACCACATGTTTTCCGTCCAACCAGGTGGGCTTGGTCAAGGTGATGAAGAACTGAGAGCCGTTGGTGTCAGGCCCAGCGTTGGCCATGCTGACCCACCCAATGCCATAGTGCTTCAGCTTGAAGTTCTCATCTGGAAACGTCTCACCATAGATGCTCACACCTGAGACAAAACAAGGAGCAGAGTCAACAGATGTCTTCCAACAGGAAGGTAGGGATGGGGAAAACATGTTCAAACATAGAGAAGGGAAGGAGGGAATATCATTAACTCCTTAAGGAAACAGGGCCCTGGGGCCTAAAATGAACAAAGAAAGCACAGGATGGCGGGATACTGTCTGACCTCAAACCAAGAGCCAAACTTTGATCAAGCAGGTCCATGATTTCACTTTGAAGTGTGAAGAAACTGAAGGGCAGGAAAACATCCTAAAGCCAGAGGGAAAGGTGTACAAGCTATCCTAGTGGCTCTGTACCTGTTTCCTGAGCCTCAAAGCTCAGGACAGTCCTGTTACTTATCCAGGAATGGTTGTTACTTAGCACCTAACCAGGATGCACCAACTATTCAATATACACCCACAGCGAATTCTCATAACAACCCTGAGGAGTAGGCATTCTCCATCCTATTTTACAACAGGATACCGAGGTTACAAAACTTGAAAATAGCGAAGCAGAATTTGAGCATCTGACTTTCTGACTCGAGAGCTGGTGCTTTTTCTTGCCTCAGCACTGAGAACAATAGCAGCTGATCTGGAAGCTGTTGGTCACAGCATCTTCAGGACCCATCAGGACACAGAGGATGATGGCAATTAGGAGCACCCAGTGGTCAACCTTGAACAGGAGAACCAAAGCAAGGCATGAGGTCTGGAGTTCTGGCAAAGCAGCAGGCAGAGTGAAAGACATTTTTCCACAGACCATGAGAAGGATCTGACCATCCTCCAACACCTCAAGGGTCTGCCAGGCCCATCTCCCCTTCGGTAGGGCCCCCTTATCTATCGGTTGCTAACTTCAAAATTCTGATTTCAGTTAGAAAGCCCAGAAGTAGCCGGGCATGGTGGCTCACACCTGTAATCCCAGCACTTTGGGAGGCTGAGGCGGGCGGATCATCTGAGATCAGGAGTTTGAAACAAGTCTGGCCAACATGGGAAACCCCGTCTCTACTAAAAATACAAAAATTAGCCGGGCGAGGTGGCAGACGTCTGCAATCCCTTCTACTTGGGAGGCTGAGGTAGGAGAATTGCTTGAACCCAGGAGACAGAGGTTGTAGTGAGCCAAGATTGTGGAATTGCACTCCAGCCTGGGTGACAGTGTGAGACTCTGTCTTAAAAAAAAAAAAAAAAAAAAAAAAAAAAAAAAAAAAAAAAAAGCCCAGAAGTGGATATCACAGGCAAGCAATTTATAACTGGCTGGTTAGTGATACTTGAATTGGCCTCATAAGACGGCGCTCCTACAGAGGGGCCTAGGTTGTATTTAAATGGCCCCAAACATCGTCTATCCAAAATTCAGAGAATTTTAACATAAGACACATACTGGGCAGGGAAGGTAGTAAGAAAAAAAAATGTTAGCAAAAAGAGGGCAGAGTGAAGCTCAGTCACCATTCAAGCTAGGCAGGATTCCTATGGCAGGAAGGTGGGATGCCAGCACTGAGGGCATGGGTACCAGCGTGGCAGGGTTTTCCACTGAGATCCACCAGCGTCCTCAGCAAATCCCATTGCCTAGGATAACGTGAATGCCTTCTTCCCTCCAGTCCACATCCCCATACCCCACAGCATTTTTGCAAGAACTAAAAGTAATCTTCCCAAAGCGCCTGGCAAATCAAAACACTTAATAGCAGCCATTTTTTTTCCCCATAAACAAACCATTGCAATAAACATCAAATTAGAAATAGTGGTTGAAAATGGCCTGTTGCTTTAAAATGGACAATAAATATCCATCCAAACCAGTATTTGCTGAGTGAAAAATCTTGAATCTAAAGTAAATTTAAATTGTTTGGAATTATATAGTGTATGTTTAAGAAAAGAACTCATTATGCTTCTGAGGGAAAACAGTACATGGAACTGGATAGCTATAATCCTCCATGAGAAATAATAAACTGAAGGAGATTTGAAACTCTATAAGTTTAACTATTTATAATTTATTGAACTCCAACTAAGAGTTAGTTTCCATTACAATGTTGACAACTCAGCTATTGCTTTAACTTTAAAAAATTACTGGTTCCCACCTTTGTCCAAAGGACAGCAAATAGTAAGCTTGGGTCCTGACAAAGCCACCACCCTGTAAACTCAGACACTGGATTCAGTCCTCCTGTTCCCAAGTTACCCAAGTAGAATTTGCTTTCTCTAACCCAACATTTTAGAACACAAAAAATAAAACACACAGCCAGAAGTATGAATTACTTTTTTGCAGGTTAAACCTTAAAAGTTCTCTTGGACTTGTTTTCAGCTGTTTCGTCAATATGATGAAAGACTTGAAAGAAGGAGGAAAGTGCGCTGAGACTCTGCTGCTAACTCCAGTGTCACCCTCCTGCCACGCCAGCCTCTGCAGCGGGCTGCCATCCCAGGGGAATGCAGCTTCAGGTTCCACACCTTTTCCTTCCTACAGCAGACATTTTTCTGTATGGCTACTAGTAGTCTGGCATTTTAATAATTGCAAAATATCCTGCCAAATGAATACATCTCAATTATGGAAAGACAATACACACCAAAACAATCCTGCTTAAAATGAGGACGCCTCCCTCATACCTGCCAAGATGCTGCTACATGAGTCGCCCAAACTCCATCCTTCTTAAAGAGGTAGAGTCGTCTTTACAACTGTGTTCCTTAGCTCTGGATTTCAATGGACTGGGTTCATATACTGGCTTCATCTTAGATTTTGATTTGGTAAATGGGAAAAGAGAAATGCAAAGACATTACCACCAGTGCCATCTCCAGCAGTGATGTCGCCTCCTTGAATCATGAAATCCTTGATGACACGATGAAACATGCTTCCTTTATATCCATATCCTTTCTAAAGAGATGATTTCAGTTGAGTAACAAGTAATAGAAGCCATACTGAAAGACAAACTCAGTGTTTATCTGGAAAGGACAAACTGAGAAAATTAAATAAAATATCTATAGAATTTAATTATACTCCAGCTATGGTTTACTGAGAGGAATTTATCATTAGCTGACCAAAAAATAAATATGTTATGTAAGCAAAGTATTACTGTGAATAAATTAAAAGAGAGCAAACTGTATTTTTACTTGATGATTATTTTCTCCCAATTTCCAGAAGCCTGAGGGCATGGAGTGCCCAAATAATACAGATTTTACTGGAAAATAAAGTAAAATGTGGTAAGGTTCATCTGACATACTAATTTAATACTTATTTTCCAGATGACATCTTCATATTTGGCTTAAAAGAAAGAACATCCAGTTGAAAGGAAATAAAACTGAGAGATACCTCTCCTGTTGCTAGAGCAACAAAATTTTCCACTGTCTTGGGCACAACTTTTCCAAAGAGGCCAATCACAATTCTGCCAACATCTTTGTCTCCAATCCTCACATCAAAGAAGACCTGTGTGCAGTTGAAAGGCAGAGTGGAAGGTTATAAGGTCGAAAATCACGAATACAAAGTAAGTCAAAATTAAAATCTGAGAATTGGTCCACTACAAAAGTCCTGCCCATCAGTATTTTATAAAGGAGCATGATGTCAATTAAAGGTACTCTAAAACTATTGCATGGGTGCATTTCACTCACAAATATTCATTCAGCAAACATTATTAAGCACCACTTATGGGCCAGGCACTGTACCAGGTATTGAGTTTAAAGGCTGGCTCAACCCTGTCAGGGTTGGCCAATGAAGTCTTCAATAATTCTTCTTTTCCCATACCCCAGACAAACACTGCTGCTACTTCCCATTTCCCAGCTTTAAGGATAAAGATTAGAGTGGAAAATGTTGCTCTCTTAGAAAATAATGCTGTCTAATCTTGGCAGGAGAAAAAAAAAAGTTTGTGAGGAAACAGCCTAACCATCCAAATTTATTTTTTTGTAATTTCAAACAGTCTCAAATTTGCAATGAGTTCTCAATAGATGTCTGCCATCCAGGAGATGGTGAAAATGATGAAACACAGCAGTGTTTCATCGGGCCTTCAAAGGCCTGCCACTCAGTCCAAGCACAGTAAAGCACCAGGTCCCTAGCTTTCCAAAGGACAGCAAACATTAAGCTTGGGTCCTGACAAAGGCATCACCTTGTAAACTCAGACACTGAATTTAGTCCACCTGTTCACAAGTTACCCAAGTAAAATTGGCTTTCCCTAACCCAACATTTTAGAACAGAAAAAAAGAAAACACATGGTCAGAAGGGAGTGTGAATCCCCTTTTTGCAGGTAAAACCTTAAAAGTTCTCTTGGACTTGTTTTTTAACTGTCTCATCTGAAACAAAATTATATGCGTTTTGCTTCACAAATCACTGTGCTAAGACGATTCTGAAATAGAACGCTTGAAAAGGCCACAAAGTCGAAGGGCATTCTATTAGTGAGTTTAGATTATATGAACCAATTTACTGTTTGAATGGGTAAAAAAGACATTCAACAGATGGCTTTAAAAAATATAAGAAGGGTTGTCAAAGAAAAAAGATGTCTTATAGTTTAGAAAAATCACTATGTAAAGACTGTCAAGCTTTAGTTCAAGACAACAACTTCTGCCAATACATCAGGATGTCAGTCACAGGGTGATGTGATATTTAGTGTTCCATGTGGCATTTTACAATTTCTACATGGCCAAAGCAGCAGAACTTTTATTATTATTTCTATAGGGGAGTGTTATAGAATGCATAAAAGGCCCTGCCCTTGAGATGGGGCAATGCATTAAAGTAGTGCAATTCAGCATGGCTTGGGATAGGAAGCTGCTTCAACACATGCGTGAGCCTGCTCAGTGCAGAGCTGGCTTACAAGAGAAGTTGTTCCCCAAAGGGATTTGCAAGCCAAGGTGTAAATTCAATAACCAGCAATAACAAAGCAGCACCGGAAGCCAGTCAGAGAGGCAACCTTAAATAAACATCGTATAAGACACTAGAAGGGCCTTTCAGACTTTTAAAATAAAGAACAGAAAACAAAGCCTGTGAATGTTTAGAAAGGAAGGGAGTACGATCTGAGAGAGCAGCATGAGCAGATGAAGAAGACATACCTGTCACCCAGCATAACTCTTCAGCAAAAATCACATTTTTTTTTACACACAGTCTAGCACATATTGTGATTTCCCCCCCCAGACCCAGATTGAAATATCCTTCAGCTTCATGAGTGAGCAAAAGAACAAAAAGCAGGTTTTCCCAACTCTAATGGAAAGGATAAAATCAAATCTTAGTTTGTCAACAGGTATTTATGCAAGGTCCATGTAGAAGGCAATGTATTGAGGTCACTAACTGTATAAGAGAGTCTGTGTCCTAAAGCAGTTTAACATAAAGAGATAGGCTAGGCAAGCCCATAACCACAGTACAGGGCAGGGTGTGACAAGTGCCTCTAAAACACTGTATGCCCAGGAACGATGCAGCTGAGGAGGAAGACTTAAGGGAGGCGGGTCTGGGAGGAGGGGAGCCACCTCCCCAACAAGGATAGGGGTGAGCCCTGCCTGGCAGACTTCTTTCTGGAGCCATCACACCTAGGCAGGAAATGTGGCCTGTGTGCAGAGAAGCAAAGCTGTCCTTCTGACGACGACTAGGGGTGAGGGTGAGTCGGGGTCAGGAAAGAAGCTGCCCATCAGTTTCAGAAGGCAGAGGAGAGATGCCGGCCTAAGCACGAGTTTCGTTAGACAGCAGAGAGAAGAGAAGAATCAGGCCAAGTGAGGCTCCGGGAATGTTACTTAAACGGGGAGCGAGAGAATCTGGAGGCTCTCACACTAGTTCAAGAATAAGGTCATAATGGCCTGCACTGGGTGGTAGCGGAGGGAATGCACAAGGGAGATGGGAAAGGCACGCACTTATTTATTTACTGAGACAGAATCTCGCTCTGTCACCTAGGCTGGAGTGCAATGGCACAATCTTGGCTCACTGCAACCTCTGCCTCTCGGGTTTAACCCGCTCTGCCGCCTCAGCCTCCTGAGTAGCTGGGATTACAAGTGTGCACCACCATGCCCAGCTAACTTTGGTAGTTTTAGTAGAGACGGGCTTTTGCCATATTGGCCAGGCTAGTCTTGAACTCCTGACCTTAAGTGATCCACCCACCTTGGCCTCCCAAAGTGCTGGGATTACAGGCATGAGCCACAGTGCCTGACCAGGAGAGGCATTTAAACAAAGGGGCAAACACTGGAGGAGGAGCAGGAAGGAAGAGGGAAGGAAACAAACGTGACTTAGTGTTGGTCTCGGTGTGTGTAACCCATATCATCTTATATAATTAGTGCTCACCACACCTGGGAAAGGTGGGATAGGAACTGTTATCACTAATTTACAAATGAGAAAAGTGGAAATGAGAGAGGTTAAGTTGTTTAGCAAGGTTTCCCTACTCTAAGTGTGAGAGCCAGAATTTCAAGGCTGCCTCTAGCTAAACTGGTTTATCATTAATAGGGCTCTCCCAGTCTAGCCAGGGAAACTTAAGGGGTAGAAACAGTGTTTTTGGTTCCCCAGCTAAAGGTCAACAGAAGGAGGCAGTCAGGAAATGTTAAATGGTTCAATGTCAAATGATACCCAAGGAGGACCTGGATACACACATTCCTAGGCAGGAGGCGAGGCAGCTGGCAGCAGACTCTCTCACTTTAAACCCTCTCACCACTGGATTCATCTCTGATGTTGCTGAGTGCCTCTGGGAAACAAGGCCCAGTGCTGGGCCAGGGGTGGGGTGGGACTACAAAGCTCTTACCCTCAAGGAGCTTAGTCCAACAGAAAACACATACATGAATACTATAATATAATGAGAATTCAGGTTTTATAAGACAAGTATAGATAAAGTGTCATGGCAAGGGGTGGGGATTATCTGTGGAGATCAGGGTGGGCTTCCTGGAAAAGGTGATACTTGTATTCATGCTAGACCTTGGGGCTGGGCACCTCAGTCACTTGCTTTTTTCCTCAAAGTTGCCCTTGAAAGTCATTTGAAAATGATGCAACATTGGAGGTGGGAGGAGGTAGAGAGGGAGGAGGCATTCACACAGCCTGACCCAAACCCCTGTGAAATTAATCCTGATTCCATTTCCAAAGTAACTTAGGAGTACACCCAGTACATGAGCTGTGATGTCAAAGAAACTGTTCTCAAACACAGCTCCACCACTCAACGGCCATGGAAGCCTCAGCAAATTAATTAAACTCTGAACTCCCTCTCTTCATCTGTAAAATAAATGATGATTCCTTTCAGGTCTGCACTGTCACAGTAGGATTAAGAAGATAAACACAAATAATACTAACAAGTGACTTCTGAAATCAGGGACTATGGACTATGTGCTTTACCTGCTGCTATGGTTTGAATATTTGATCCCAATGTTGGAGGTGGGGCCTAATGCGAGGTGTGTGGATCATGGGTGTAGATCCCTCATGAATGGCCTGCTGCTGTCTCAGCAGTGAGTGAGTTCTCACTCTGTTAGTTCCCATAAGAGCTGTTTTTTAAAGGAAGGTGACATCACCCCCGTCAGCCCCCTCTCTCACCCACATGCCTGCTTCCTGTCACCTTCCACCATGAGTGGAAGCACCCTGAGGCTGTCACCAGATGCCCAATCTTGAACCTTCCAGCCAGCAGAACCGTGAGCTAAACTTTTTTTCTTCATAAATTACCCAGCCTCAAGTATTCCTTTATAGCAACACAAATGGACTAAGACATCTGCTTTAGCACAACTAATATGCAAAGCTCTCCCAGATATTTCTGTCTCCATTTGACAGAGGAGGAAACGGAGCCATAGACATTCAATCACTTGTCCACGGCCATCTAGCCACAGCCTCCTGGCCACTACATGCTAATGCGCTTGCAAGCTGTAATATGTGTGCAGCTGGAAGGATGGTGACATTACACTCCCAGTACCTACACTCCCGGAGCCGGACCCTGCACAGATCCCATGGCATTGGTTCAAAAATATAGGTCAGCAAACCTAATTCTGTGGATTTGGAGCCCAACGAGCCAGAGTCCCCACCTGAGCCTCTATGGCTGGGGCAGAAAGCTGCCAGGCTGGCCCAGCAGCAGGATCTATGGGCGAAGTCAGTGCCACTAATGAGCCATGTGGGCACAATAGTACATCACACCTCGCTTATTTACAGATTCCTACTTTTAAATGAAATCAGAGGTAAACGAAAACACTGCTGGGGAAAACATTACACTAGAGCAAGCACCAGTTAATGTACTTGTCTGCACTCAAGAGAAATTATTTGTAACATCATTTTCCAATAGATTTAGTTGTCTTTAAAAGTTCATGAAAAAGTAATTTAACAGAGCAGAAACTGTTTAATATGCACCTACACAATTAGCTTTTAGAACTTAATGACAAATTTGGTAGGGAGAAAAAGACATGTTAAGCAACAATTCTGAGAGTAGGGTACATGCTAATTCCCCTCAGTGACAGTATCATAGACAAGGGGTTAGGATACTCTAACTCTTCCCTTCCTGCAGCCACCAGCTTCCTCTTCTCTTGGCTCTGTCTTCCAGTGGTTCCCAGTCCACGCTGGCTGCACACCAGAATCATCTGAAAGCTTCTAAAAGATAGCATACTGAGCCCCACCCATACAGATTGTGATTGACTTGTTCTGGGGTGGGTCTCTGCATCAGTAGGTTTAAAAAGTTTCCCAAGTGAAACTTGTTCCTAAATATTGCAGGGGACATACTTACACTAGAAAAATTTATTCGTTCTTAATCTGAAATTCACCTCTAACTGGGCATCCTGTATTTTATTTGGCAATCCTATTCCCTCTCCTTCACCCACTTGTAAACCGTCAGCAACTCCTGTTAGTTATACCTCCAAAATCTATTCCAAGTCCTTCCCTTGCTCCTCATTTCAACGATTACCACCCTAATCCAAGCCACCATCTGGACTCTGGCATGGTGCCCTGAATGACATCCCAGTTCACTCTCCACTGAGTGACCACAGAAATTTCTCAAGAGCATATATTCAGATTATGCCATTCTCAGGCTTAAAACCCTTCAGTGGCTCTGACTGCAGAATAAGACTTCAAATGTTAAGAATAATTGCCTCAATACCCGCATGCCTACCTGCAGCCTCTAAGGCCCTGTGTGATCCCGCTGCTGCTCACCCCGCCAACCTCCTCTCAAGTCACCTCTCATCCTGTGCTGAAGGCACACCACCGTCCTCTCCACAGGCTCTGGATGCAGGGAGGGGTCTCCTGTTTGAGGACTTTCGCACATGCAGTTCCCTTTACCTCCTAAGTCATCCCTGCGCTGGTTTTTCTCATTTTTCAGGTATTAAAAATGTCACATAATCTATATTAAAGTTTATTTCCTCCAACATTTCATAATTGTGCAAATTTTATGTTTATGGCTTTATCCCAAGAGACCCCGTTCGGCTCTGTGGCCTTGCACAAACCATTTCCCAAAATTAGATATACCTACAAGATCAAGAGGCTGGGAATAAGATCAGAGCTTCTCAAAACCATCAGGCTGTTTATCAACCCCGCCCACAGCGTGGCATGGCTTTTTATGCGACATCAAATGCTGAGCTGGACCTCCTCCTTCCCACCCCGGTCCTCCCCGGCCTCAGGTGGCGTCTGCGGTAGAGGATGTAAGCATTCTACTAGGTGATTAGTCTTTTCCACGGACAAACCCGACTGATTAGGACCACTTTCAGCTGCACCCCGCCCCTCCGGCTTCAGTTTCCAAGACACTATTGCCGGCGGTTTTTCTACAAGTGCTGATCATGGGCACCAAATTATCCCCTCCCTCTCCCTGCGGTCTCCCACTATCGTCTCCCCTTGGTTAAATATGCTGAAAGAAGAACCGAAGCGGAGTTAAGCACGAGGTAGCCCTGGAGACGCACTTTCTGGCAGCCCCCCGCCCGCCCGCGTCCCCGCCGCGGAGGCCGCCCCCGGTGTACAGGTGCTGCGTTCGCCCGGCCTAGCACAGCCCACAGCCGGCGCCGCCCGCCCGCCGAAGGTTGAAGGCGCACCTCCCCTTCCCGGGAGAGGACGACGGTTCACCAAAACAGGCGGGACACAGCCCCTCATTTGAGCGAGGCGCTTTGACGCCTGCCCGAAACCCCGCGGCCGGCGTGGAGCCCAGCTCTTCCCCGCCCGAGGACAGCGGGGCGGGCGGCTGCAAGCCCTGGGCTCCGAGCGCCTCTCCCGCGTGGGTCCCGTCCCCCACCCTTCCCGCATTCCTCTCGCTCCGCTCCCGAGCCCGGGCCACGCCGAAGGAAGTACTTGGGCAGTCTCCTTCCTGGAGAACCGGCCCGCCGGTTCCGGAAGCCTCTCCTACCCCCAGGCTGCTCCCCTCGGACCCTCGACCCGGGACAAGAAGTCCAGGCAGCGGGCGGCGGGGACCGGCTGGCCTCAGCCCAGAGCCCCCCAGGGCCTCCCCGGGAGCGCCGCCACCCCGCACGTCCGCAGCCCCCTCCCGCCCAGCCCCGCGGCCGCCTCCCGTCCCGCTGCGCCCGGGACGCCTCCTCCTCGCCCGCCCTGAAACCGAGCCGCAGTGTCCAAGGCGCCCCCAGGCCCCCTCCCGCCACGGGGGAAGTTGCTGCCCGCCGCTCTCGGTCACCTTGGCCGTCACCGAGGGTCCTCGCTTGCGGAAGCCTCCGGCTCCCGAAGAAGACACGAGCGCGCCGAAGTCCCCACGCAAAGCACGACCGGTAGCAGCAGCCGGAGACCCGGGGCCATGGTGAGCGGTGGCAGCGGCGCCACCCGCACGGGCGTGACCGCTGGTTCCGGGACCGCTGGCGGGACTCCCGGACCGCTGCGCCTGCGCGCTCCCGGTTGCGGGGGATGGGGATGGGGCAGTCGAGGAAGGGCGGGGACCCGGGGCGCGTTCCTCCCAAGTTGACCCTCACGACCCGAACTTGGGACTCGGAGGGGCGCGCCCAGAGGGCGCAGCCCGGGGTCGGCCGCCGCGCCTAAGGATTCCCTGGGGGAGCCCAGGGTGCCCAGGCGCAACGCCAGGCGCAGCGGGCTCGGCTGGGAGCACCTCCTGGGATTCACCGTGCAGGCGCGGACCTAAACCTGGACGGGAAGACCGCGACTCTCGGGCCTCGGCGTCCGCTCGGCGCCTAGCGCTCCGCGGGACTGGGAACTCTGCACCCGGTCGGGATTGGACTGCTGCCGCCCTGGGAGCAGCCTCTGCCGCAGCCGCCGACTTCCAAAGGCCCGGCGGTACCTTTTGCTGGGTTTCGGACGCTTAGCAGAACTTTGGCACCGCTAGACGCGTGGAGCTCTTGCACTTAAACAATGACCTCTCATTGAGATGCTTCACGTCTGGGGAAGCATTGGCAATTGCTGGATTCACAGTCCCCTTTGCCTTGGAAAAACTTTTACATTGGCTTTAAGTACTTTATTTGGAGGCTGATTCTGTGATCTTTCACTGTTGACAAGGCAGCACTTAGACACAGGCCCAGAACCATGGTCGTGTAGGATTCTTTGCCGGGGAAACAAACTGACTTTTAAGTATATCTGTAGGATGGAATTTTTACAAACTTAAGGATTACGTTTAGGAAGATTATTTAATGACTGGGGAAATAAGTTCTTATATTTTTTTAATGGAAAACAGATTGTAAAACTACATAGAAATTCTTAACTGTGAAAATAAATATATCAAGGTATTTAAATATTGAAAGAGATGTACCCCAACAGTAGCTATAGATAAAATTGATAGCTATTTATATAATTATGGATTTTTGAGGATTTTTTTGCAGTTTTCTGATTTCCCGATTGTTGTACAATGAGCATATAAGTATTTTATAACATAGAGTTATTTTCAAACTCATTGCTTTTTAAATTAGAATTTCAGAACTTTTTGATTTTAGAGTAACAGTCCTAAAATTAACTAAAAATTAGTGGCATTCGCACATGGGTGCCATTTTAAGGGGGCTGGTGCCATTACTTTCCAGCTAAGATTTTCCTCAGATTAACAGATGGGATTTCTAAGTGTCAGACGGGATTCCTAGGTGTAACTAAGTGTAGATCTAAAATGACATTGGAACCATTAGACATAAAAGTAGTAACCACTACTTTTTAGGGATGGAGAAAAGGAAAAATGCAATTCTGAACTATTTTTATGATTCAGTCTAGTGAAGGACCTAATGGCTTTCCTCTTCATCCTCACCCCCAATAAAGAAAGAGTCCCCCTTGTGTAGCAAGGCAAGGGTATCTCTCAGAGCATGTACCCTATGAGGTGATTGTATATATTTATCTGAGTTCATTAACTGTTTTCGTCTGTCTGCTATCAGAGGTAAACAGTCAGAGCAGGGATCATGCCTATCTTTATTCCCTTTGATGACCCCAGACCCAGTGCAATACCTGATATATAGTGATCTCTCAATAACTATTTATTGAATGAATGAATGTGTCCAACTACTTATACCACCACCATCTCATCCTCTAGGCAAAGAAATGAAATCTTTCCCAGCTCCCTAGAAACTCCTTATTCTCTTAAAAAGTGCCAGTTAATAACACTCTTTTCTCCCCAAATTAACTGCAATCTTGACTTTTCTTGCACTAAAGTTTAATTTTGTTTTACTTTTATTTGAAACTGGAGTATTACAGTATGTATTTCTTTTGCTTAAATTTTTGTGAAATTCATCTATATTTTTGCATATAACTTTTGGTGGCTAATACAAGGTAGAGAGCAAATTCATTTTTTAATGAATATTCATTTACTTCAGTACAGTTTATTGAAAAGCCTCCCCTTTACCTCGTCACTCCACAGTGTTCTTCTGTCATAGAGCAAGTGCCCATGTATGCATAGGTGTGTTTGTATCTGCCCCTTTGGTCTATTTGTCTTTGTGCCAATACTACACTGTCTTCATTAAAATAGCTTTATAATAACTCTTCATATTCAGTAGTACACGCCCTCTTAGCTTTGTTCAACAAATTCTTGGCTGTTCGTGACCATTTCCATGTCCATATAACTTGAGAATCAGCATGTCAGTTTCTACACACTGAGATTTTGATGGGGATTGCATTGCATCTGTAGACCATTGAAGACTTCGCAAATTCACAATATTGAGCCTTCTAATTCATTGAACATAGCATATTTAGGTCTTCTTTAGTTTCTCTTAATAAGGTTTTATAGCTTTCTGCCCAGAGGCCTTATGTGTATTTTATTAGTTTGATTTCTAAGTGTTTGTTTTTTTATGCTATTGTTATATATTGTAGCAAAATTAATTTTATATATTAACCTTGTCTATACCAATCTTTTAAAAATATTAATTCTAATAATTTATGTGTTGTTCGGGATTTTCTCCATAGACAATTATGTCATCTATGAATAGTGACAGTTTTATTTCTTCTTTTCTAATCTTTGTATTTTGTATTTACTTTTTGGCCTTATTACACTGGCTAGGACCTGCAGTTCAAAAGGAAGTGGCAACAGTGGGAGTCCTGGTATTGTAGACTGAATTATCTGCCAAAAATGTGTATTGAAGTCCTAAACCCCAGTATCTGTGAATGTGACCTTATTTGGACTGTCTTTGCAGATGTAATCAAGCTAAGATGAGATTCATACTGGAGTGGGGTTTGCCCTACTCTAATATGACTTGTGTCCTCACAAAAAGAGAAGAGATACAGACACATGCACAGAGAATAACACCATGTGAAGATGGAGGTGGAGATTGCAGTGCTGTATCTACAAGACAACGGATGCCAAAGATTGCTGGCAACCCCCAGAAGCTAGGAAGAGGCAAGGAAGGATTCACCCCTAGAGCCTTGAAGGAGAGCTTGGCCTTGCCAACACCTTGATCTCAGCTGGTGGCTTCCAGAACCGTGAGACAAAGCATTTCTCTTGTTTGAAGTGACCCAGTTTGTGGTACTTTGTTACAGCAGCCCTAGGAGGTTCATACACCTTGTCTTGGTCCCAGTGACGGGGGAGTGGGGGAAGCTTTCAGTGTTTCACCATTAAGTTTGATATTTGCTGAAGGTCCTTTTGAGGGTATCTTTTTTCGGATTCAGAAAATTCCTTTCTAGTCCTAGTTTGCTAAGAGTTTTTAGCAGACATTTGATTTAAATTTTATCAACATCATCTATTGAAATCAACTGAAATAATTATGATTCCCTTACTCTGCTAATGTGATGAATTGCATTGATTTTCAAATTTTAACCTAAGCTTACATTCTGGAATGTGTCCAACATGGATTCTTTTTATATATTACTAGACGTGGTTTGCTAATATCTGTTTATTAACAAAGCTACCAAAAACTGAGTATAGACACTTTTCTGAAGTTCAGGAAAAAAGGAGTGGGTAAAGTGTGGCTCTGGCTGTCTAGTTGAGACTGAGTTGGTCACGCACATGTCATTTCAGTGTTAGTGAATAAATCTGAGAATCTTATTTTCAGGATATTTGCACCTAAATTCATGAGTGAGACTAGCCTGAAATTTTTCTTTCTTGGAATTTCCTGTTAGTTTTTGTATTAGCATTATTCTGGCCTCTTAATGCGAGTTGGCAAATGGTAGCTGTTTTTTTTCTACTCTTAAATGGTTTGCATAAATTTACCATTTCTTCCTTGAATGTTTGTTAGAAGCCATCTGGGCCTGGAGTTTTCTTTATTGTAACATTCTTAATTATATATTTAATTTTTTAAATAGTTGAAGGATTCTTCAAATTTTCTATCAACCTTGTAGTATTTTTCAAGGAATATATCCATTTTATTTATATTTTAAATAGTTTTATAAAGTTGTTTAAAACATTTTTCAATGATTTTTTTTTAGGTCTGTAGGACCTGTAGTAATGTCTTCTTTTTCATCCCTAACATTGGTTGCTTCTTTTCTTGTTTTTCTTGAACAGTTTCACTAAGGAAGCTGATGAATCCAATGCTTTATTTTATTAATTTATATTCTAATTTTATTATTTCCTTCCTTCTACTTTCTTTGACTTTACTGTTATTTTTCTATCTTCTTGGATAGACTCTTAACTCATCAGTGTTTAATGCCTCTCTTGTTTACTGTAATACTTTATATGCAGTTAAAATGATAAAGTTCCCCTTGTGCTTCTTGAAAGCTTTGATATATGTCATATTTTCATTATTCTTTAAAAATATTTTCTAACTTACATTTTTTTGACCCACGTGTTATATAAAAGCATAGTACTTTATTTCCAAACATGATTTTTTTAAAAAAAAAAATCCTTTTGTTAGTGATTTCTTAGTTGTATTCTGGTCAGAGAACATATTCTGTATTATTTCATTCTTTTAAAATATGTGGAGACTTGCTTTATCACATAGGATCCGAACAATTTATTTGATTCTCCCCTCATTAGATATAGTGTTCTACATTTATGTTCATTAGACCAATTCATATCTCTATCCTTTTGTCTGCTTGTTAAAAGAGTTACTGAGAGAAGTGTGATAAAAATCAATTTCATCATGACTGTAGTTTTGTCTATTTCTCCTTGTAGGTCTATACATTTTTTCTTTATGTGTTTCTTTATATATTTTTGGAACAACTTTGTTGAATGCAAACACATCTAAAATTATCTTTTAATGAATTATCTTATTATGTAGTATCATTCTTTATTTCTAGTAATGTGTTTTGCCTTAAAGTCTGATACTAATATAATATCTTTCTTTTGGTTACTGAATGCATGGGTTGTTTCTTTGTTAAGTAAGATTCTACTTTCATTCTTTCTGTCCTTATGTTTTAATGTATCTTTTGTAAATAACATGAATTGGGCTTTTAATGAAGTTTGATAAACTTTATATTGAATATGTAGCCGGTTGACATGTTTGGGTTTAAAT